GTCCACGAACATCCATCCACCGGGAAACGTCTCGACATCCCGAATACCTTCACTATCGGGGATTAGCGTTGTTGATACGCTCTGAACGTCGGGAACATCGGTAAAGCGAAAAAAACGACGCCGACCGGACGGCGTAGACGAGCCTGAATGATTCGTCAGGTTCAACATCGAGAACTCCCTTTTCAAACCGCAATGCCGATCAAAGGGAACTTCCGGGCTGCTGTCACAAGAACTACGTTCTCGAACATCTTCTTCTCCGTATTGCCGTGACAGTGGCGTTGGCGTGACACAGTGGAAGAAATAGACACCCATTTGAAGAGACGATTCACACGAAAACTGTACAACAAGAAAATCACGTTAACGTATGACGAGGTCAGGGAAATAAACAAGAGGGAGTAAACTCGCATTTCTAATATTTATCACACAACAGTGGAACAACAACATTTGAATCCGTATCGTTTTGTCGGACCCTGATTTGAAGCTCAAGTGGTATCTCAAGTCCGAGTCCTCTCCCACTCGTTCAATGTGCAAGTGGTTTGGATATGTCCGAGTAAACTCGCACTTTTTCAGGCAAGAGTACAAATGCGAGTTGATTCGGACTTATTCACCGTACAATAAGAGAAGTAAATTCAATATTATATTGAATTTACTTCTATCTTGTTGATTAATTTAAATGAACCATATCTAGATATCTAGGTATCGAACAGTAATGGCTGTTCCCAAACTCATTGACAAAAAGATACATAGAGATCATATAAAAATACATAGAAATCATATATAGCAAAACTATGCAAAATACAAACACTTTTTGGAACAAGAGCGAATACATTCGCACTTGCAACGAGCATTTCAATTTCGAAACTGAGGGTGTAAGTGCGAGTCAATTCGGTCTTATCCAGTAAACAGCAAGAAATTTAGGGGCGTGGTTAGTTCAAGTGCCAATAAATTCGCACTTCAAACGAGCATTTCAATTACGCTGTGCAATAAGAAATTACCTTCGTGGTTGGTTCAGTGGCGAGTTAACTCGCAAATAGAAAAGGACTTCATTTTTTTGGGCTGAGAAGAGACACGACTTTACTGCTCGAGTTCTTCGATTTCGAGAATGTGAGTACAAGTGCGAGTTAATTCTGACTTATCGACTAAAGAGTAACAATTTAGGGGGATGATTGGTTGAAGAGCGAATAAATTCGCACTTGCAAACGAACATTTCCATTACGAAACTGGGGGTACAAGTGCGAGGTAATTCTGACTTATTGACTAAACAGTAACAAATTTGGGAGGCTGGTTGGTTCAAGAGCGAATAAATTCGCACTTGCAAACGAGCATTTCCATTACGAAACTGCAGGTGCGAGTGCGAGTTGTTTCCGGCTTGTTCTGCGTGTAGTACGAACCACAGATCGTCGCAAGAGAGAAATGGGGAAAGATGGCGTAATATTTTTTAAGATGGAGAAAGATTGTGAAGCGATGGGCGATGAAAATGGATGGAGAGAGATCGCGCACCGATTGAGAGAGATGGCGCACCAAGAGAGATGGATGGAGTTACAGTCGTCCCCCGAATACAACGTCCGATCATTACAACTGAATTCGGGGCATCTTTCTGTCCAAAGAGAACTATAATGAACGTGCGTTGTATATTCTGGGGAAGAAGGTAGATGGCGCAGGAAGGGAAAGAGATCGCGAACTGATTGAGAGAGATGCTGCAGCGAGGGAGAGAGATTGTGCACCGATGGAGAAAGATGGCGCAGCAATGGAGATAGCAGGCGCAACGATGGTTAGCGATGGCACAACAATGGAGAAAGAAGGCGCAACGAAGGAGAGAGAAGGACATAGATGGCGCGGCGATGGAGATAGATTGGGAAAGATAGCACAGAGATGGAGATAGATGAAGAAAGGTAAGGAGATATCACACACCGGTGGAGAGAGATTGAGAGAGGACACGCAGCAATGGTTAGCGATGCAGCACCGATGGAGGGAGCAGGCACAGCGATGGTTAGCGATGACGCACCGATGGAGAGAGTTGGCGCAGCGATGACCAAGATTAGTTATTGCACAACATCAGTTCCATTATCAAGGTCACATCCATCGCGTTGAGCTTTCGTTAAGCATACCTGTCACTTGTTTCGTGCGATTCCACAGTGACGGCCGGCTGCACTGACGGCGGCCTGAAACAACAATACCATGGCGATGGCGGGATCGTTCAGGAGCGATGGAGAGCCTCTGGTGTAGGGATGGAGGTTGGTCGGTGGTCGAGAGAGATCGCGCAGTGATGGAGTGAGATGGAGAGTGATCACTCAGCGATGGAGGGAGATCGTGTGGCGATGGAGAGAGATCGCGCAGGAGCGATGAAGAGAAATCATGTAGCGATGGAGAAGAGATCGCGAAGGCCCGAAGGTGCCCAACGAATCAGCGATAGCGATGGCCGGCGCTGCGATGGGATAACACTGGTCAGGGCTTCGATAGCGATGGCCAACGCTGCGGCGGAGAGCGATGGCACACCGATGGAGAGAGATGGCGTAACTGTGAGAAAGATGGCGCAGCGATGGAACGGGTTACAATGGCCAACGCTGCGATGGCAGCGATAGCGATGGCCAGCGCTGCGATGGGAGCGATAGCGATTGTCAGCGCTGCGATGGTGAGGCGAGCGCGATGGTGCAGCGATGGAACGCGTTACAATGGCCAGCGCTGCGATGGGGGATACGACTTTGCGTCGCGATGGGGGATATAGCTTTGCGTCGCGATGGGGGATATAGCTTTGCGTCTCGATGGTCAGGCGAGCGCGACGACTGTGATGGGGGATATAGCTTTGCGTCGCAATGGCGATGAGCTAAGCGCATCGATGGCGATGGTGCATGGCGAGCGTTGGAATGGATTGCGGACTTCGTATATCCAACGCCGTTGACATTTACAAAATGTCCCGATGACTGCGACATCGGAACTTATAGATTTCCGGTGTTTTTGACCTCAGCGCACATCGAATCGCCGCGCCTCGGCGCCGCACGACGAACCGCCTCGCCGGATTCCTTCGCCTGACCTCGTTCGTCGGATCATACCAATCGACGGTCCAGACTACAACTGCGAAAATGACCTTGCCTGCCCCTTGTTTTCTGGAACTGTCATATCATTGCACGCTGGAGTTGACGGAGATTTTGGGGCCTCTGGCATGTCAGTGGCTCCGTTCATCTGCGCCGTTCAAAATTGTTGATCGACGGCCGACGATTTCCGGTACCTCTGACCTTTCGAGGCCCAAGCTGCCCTTACCCGTTTATAGGCCCTGGCGTCTTATGGGCCCAGGCGTGCGATATGCGAATCGATACGGCCCCACCTTGATCCTGACACAAGGCCTGCTGCAGGAAAGTATAAAAGGCGTTGCCGCCCTCATGTTATCCCTTTTGTTGCCGCTCCACAGGTCAAGTCGCGTTATCGCTTCCACGCGCGTTCTGATATTTTGTCTTCAGCCCCCACCTCCTTCCGCCATAGCCCATTCGCTTTTCGCTCTTCGCTCCGTCCACAGTTGCCGCATCGTGTTCGGTTCGCTCTCTGTAGCTCGCTCTTCGTGGCTAGATTTCCATTCGCCATAGCCGGTTCGCTCTTCCTACCTCGATATCCCTCCACCATAGCTGGTTCGGTGGTCATCCGACGTTGGTCGCTTGCTCAACGCACGATGAAGGTAACATTCTGTAACTTCAGTTGTCCTCGTTTGTGTCCGATGTCCGAACAGATTCCCAGATGCCCTGTCTGCACCTGCAGGATATAACGCCGCAGTTGCCGCATGTTGAACCCCGAATCAATTCCTGGTTTTGTTGTTTCGGCAGCGGACGTGTTCTGAAGTCTTTTTTCCACCCTCCACCTCCGTCCGCCATAGCCGATCCACGTTTCGTAGCTCGATTACCTTTCGCCATAGCCATGATAACGTTTGTATAAAGCTGCTCGATTCTCGCAACTTATAGTCATCACTGCGCATGGTGAACCCCGAATCAATACCCAGTTTTTGTTGAACACCGAATCAATTCCCGATTTTTGCTCACCTGTCCCTTGTGAGGTCGCCGACCTCACATATATATATATATATATATATATATATATATATATACATATATACATATATATATATATGTATATATCTACATAACCGAACCAATTCGCATTTTTGTTCATCCATCCCAGCGAGGTCGGAAGTGATCCACAACTGCGAGTCAGTTCGCAGTTTGTGACCTGCACTGCTTGATGAGTCACAACTGCGAGTTAGTTCACACTTGTAGACACCCATGTCGCGCGTCTTTCAGGTCTTCATTTCCACAACTCCGCACTTTCCCCAAGATAAGTTGCCTTTTGTTAAACGTGACTTTCGCGTTTCCAGGACTGCGGGTTGCAATTGTTGTCTTGTCTCCAGAAATGCGAGTTAGTTCGCACTTGTCGATACCCTTCACACTTGTCGATAAACCACATCTTACTCGTCTCGAGGGCAGCGAGTCGGGTCGAAATCTTTCCGAAGAGTTGTTGTCTTCCCTCCGAACTCACTCTGCCAGAGGAGTTTTGTCTTTCCTCAACTTTACTCAATTGTTTTGACTTCGTTTGCATTTCAAACACCAATCTCGTGCGTCGGTTTCCTTCTCCCCGTAACTGCGAGTCGGTTCCCGCTTGTCGATACCCATGCGGTACTTGTTGTAAACGGCTTCATTCCCAGAACTCCGAGTTAGTCCACACTTTCCTAAAGATAAATCACATCTTCCTCGATTCTAGGACAACGAGTTCGTTCGCACTCTTTCCATGGAGCTGTTGTCTTCCCTCCGAACTCACTCTGCTAGAGGACTGTTGTCTTTCCTCTCCTTTACCCAATTGGTGGTGTGCATTTCAAACACCCATCTCTTACGTCCTTTTCGTCCTCCATTTCGTCAAGTCCGAGTTAATTCGCACTTTGTTTCTGTAGTGCTAGGAAAACCTCGTTGCTTTCCTCCCGGTCACCCGATTTGGTCTGAGGTTGGACGTATCAGTCAACGGGTGGGAGTACAATGGCATCCGCAAAGAACACATCCACAAGCGCTGGGCCATCTGCCCCCGGGGAGGGACGACCTCTTTAGCATTCTACTCCTCAGTATTTCCATGTAAGGGAAGCACAATGGTTTTTGGACTTCGTTGTTCTGGCAAACCTTTGTTGGCCCAGCTGTTTTCATGCGACCCGTTTGCGTTCCAGGCGCTGAGGGAGCGGCCGACGTTATTCCTGTCGGTACCATCGTCTCGTGCGGCAAGATTCTTGGAGGTTTGCTAAAACTGCACACTAACGTCTTCTACGACGAGTGCAGAATGCCTTTGAGAGGTGTTAATGGTGTGATAGTGGCCATCAAGAGTTTCGCGGGGTACGGCTCGAACATGACGCTGTGCCCTCACTTCAAAGGGCTTTACGATGGCTCCAGCAAGCGTCTTCCACCGGCAGTGCAATACCTCGATCTCGCGCTGAAGGTGCCGAAAGAAAGTCCGGTTCTTCCGCGAGAATATGTTTTTCGGCTTCTGCCAGCCCATGAGGGGTCGTCCGGCTTGGCTCAAGAAACTCCTGAGACGCCAGTGGGGCATGGGAGTGCGATTCACGACGCTGAGGGTCGGGGCAAGGGGCACGCGCGCAGAATTCACACGCAGGTCGGCCCGGATGCTCCTGGGGACACGTCAGACTTGCATTCTCCAAATGCAGGGACTCTCCCGGTCAGCACTCTGAAAATCCTCAAGGTTTGCTGCCAGGGCGACACGTATTCGCTTCGAGATAAGAAGAGAAGAGAATCCGGCAGATCGGGGCAAGAGGTTGGAGAGAATGAGGCTGAAGGGATGGGCGCTGGACGCGAAAGCTCTGGCGGGGAGCCAACTTGTTCGGAGAAGAAGCGCGAGCGACAGAGGATGGTGCGAGAGGAGGTGGCGGAGGAAACCCGCCGCATGAAGAGGATGAAAGGACATTCGGAGCCGGTGATGGGCGGGGACGGAGGTGACGTCGGAGAACGTGCCTCGGGAAAGAGGGCGCCTGGGATGCGTGGTGGACAAAAACATGGAGTCGAAAAGAGGTTGTCGAAGGAAGAGGGTGCGATGGCAAGTAAGAAATCGAGGAGGCCCGATGGTTTGACCATCTGCGAAGGACAAGCTATGGGTGGAGGAGATTCGGCTCATCCAGGCACTGCCACCGCGAGAGAACCTTCGGAGAAATCCAAAAGGAAACCGGCAGGCGAAGAAGGCGATGGCTAGAAGAAACGTCGGAGGAGGAAGACTGCTGAGGCGGCGAGCAGTGACGAACGGGTTGTCGGTAGGCAGTTCAACAAAGCGGCAGCGTTCTGGCTCGAATACAAGCGGAACGATGACGGTGAGATCGTGGAGAAGGAGCTCCCCGTTCAACTGGTCATCAACCCCAGGAAGGTCTGCGACATCCCGACTTGGGAAAGATATTACAACCACCGCAGTCTCAGTCACGATAGTGTGGAGGACATCAAGGAAGCGATGCTAAGGCAGTTCCGCGAGGAAAAGGGGAAGATCTGGACGAAGAACCCTTTGGTTTTGACACCCATCTACAAACCGGTGACGCGTAGGCCGGAGAGAGCTGAGAGGGTTCACAAAGATGTCTTCAAGCCTGAGGACACGGACAAGTACTTCTATTACCCTGTCAACGGACAACACACCGTGGCTGCTGTGAAGGAGTTGGAGGGTGAGCCGATATTCGAGTTGTGGAAGATGCACTCGTGGCCGACGAAAGTAGTCTGGTTCTCCGACGAAGAATTCACGGGGTATTTGCCGGTCAGTCTCAAGGAGAACACGAGATACAAGATGTCTAAGCAGCGTGCGCAGAAGACTGCATTCCAGGACATGCGGGAGGCATGGGAGAAAGAAGGTAGGCCGGTGGCCATTCAAGGGAACCCTTCCAGCAAGGAGGCCGAAAAAGAAGCGTTTTTCAAGTTCCAAAAGCTGCTTTTGGGAAAGAGTCCGAACCATGCTCACTGGACGATGGCAAGCAAAACGTCAACGCTCGCCAACAAGGAGTAAGTCGCTGCCATTGGCAATGCATTGAGGCAGTGGATGCCGCTCGTGACGGTCGGTGATGACGTTTTCCGCAAAGGCATGGAGTTCTACGAAAAATGGGTGGAGGGAAAGTTGTTGGGCGGCGACGGGAAGACGCCGTTGTCGAAGCCGGGCAAATACATGCCAGACAGATCTCCGGGTCTTCAAGCAATTCCGGAAATGGGCTCGAAAGCGGCGGCTGGTGAAACGGAGATGGGGGTGGCTGGTCAGGGTTCCGCCGCCTCCGACCAAAAAGAAAACGCAAGCGGACGACAAGTTTTTCGTGGTCGTGAAGGAACCGGACATGTTATGTTGGCAGTGTCTCGCCGACATGACCGATGTCGAGAAACTGTCGATCCTCGACGACATTCTCGCACTAAGGGGAGTGTTCGTGCAATCGGCGGGCGGGCATCTGAAACGACAACATAAGCCTGGAATTAAAAACATGGTCGCGAAGAGGAAAGTGGACCGCATGATGGTCCGCATATTCCACTACATCTTGTTCCTTGAAACGGAGGAGGACGAAGGGGTTTGGAGCTACGGGAGCCCTTTTTTCCGGACCGAGGGGCAGCTTCTGGCGGAGTTCGGGCCGCAGGGACTCACGAAACAGGTGTGGGTCGAACTGCGAAAGCATTTCCAGGGCGCGGTGGAGTACGTGAACACTTACAAACGTACTCTTCCGCACGAGAAGGAGTCCCTCGACGACACGAAGAGAATGTACGAGGATGACAGGTTCCCAAAATCTTTCGAAAAGTCCGTCCGTTCCATCTTACGATGGATGGAAGAAGAAGTTCGAGACACGATCAGGGTCAGCGGGGATGTGAGGCACGTCAAATGGGACAAGGCCAACCCGGTAACCAGCCTTGTTCCTTTCTGTTGCATGTCGTCCCAAGCTCACAGTCGTCTCGCTGAGATCCGCGAGATTGTGCGACATTACGTGTGCAACCTGTACGTCCTCAATTTGTGTGATCCCACACTCCTCACAGACTGGCGAGAAGACGATTTCGCAAACTTGCAAGGCGTTCTCCAAACACTGTCGCCAACGCACAGGGCACTTGTAATCTTCTTCCCCTCTCGTTGGGAGCTCAGTTTCTTGAAAGGCATGGCCAGGCTTAGCGTCCATCATGTCAGGACAGGGAAGTGGGTGCGCCATGCACAAAGGCAGGCCACTATCCGGGAAGGCAATATGTTGGTTGAGGAGTGTGATCGCCTGTACGTGATTTTCAATGGCGAGAGCCTGGCAGACAACACAGTCTCAGTCTTCCCGGTCAGTAGCCCGACAAAGGCTCCCCGTGCTCATGGTCCAAGTCCGGGCAAACACGCGGTGGCGGCCCGCTCGAAAGCTGTTTGTTCGTCGGACCCATCAGGACAGGCTCTGGCGTGTTTCGACGTGGCGGACGACGACAGGTTCCCTCGTAGCCTGTGGGAGGACGGCAACGTGACAAGTGTTCGTGGACCTACTTACGGGGACGAGGAGCGGAAACCGTCCCACCTACTTGGTCTACTCGAAAACTTTTACAGAGTTGGGCAAACTATTTTTTTCTTTGGGAAGGCGCATGCGTCTGTCGTGTGGGAGTTCCTACGCAACGGTCGGAACGTCGTCGCGTTGGAGGACAAGGCGAACATGATCGATTACCTTAACGAGTTCGTGAAGACACGCGTGGCAGACACTCGCAATTATTGCTCTTTTGTGCTGACCACTGGCGAACGGAACTTGGATCCCAAACGTGATATGTATTGGAAATTGTCGGGGAACAAAAGGACGGAGGTTTGGGACTTCCTTTTCCAACCCGGGCCGCCTGCTCAGACCGACCTCGAATACAGTCGACGGAGAAACCTGGTGTTCGGTGTGCTGAATGGGTACCACGATACACCCAGGGAATCTGTCTCGAATTTCCTGAGAAGGCTGGAGCACGTTTACTTCTTGATGGCCGAACCGCTCACCCTCGAAAACTACAAGGCGCAGTTTGACGAGGAGGACCCTTTCGATGCTGAAGACATGGAGGAGCTGAGCGACTTCGAAACCTTCGATTTCGAGTCCATGTCACTTCCTCGGGTGGTTGGACAGGTTGGTGATGAAGGGGAAGGTGGTCCTCAGAGATATAGCACGTCCCCTGCCGGTTTGAAGCGTGTGTTTGGGTGCGAAAAAGTCGACGACCAATCGTCTGATGACGGGGAGGAAGAGAGACACTATGATTACAAACCTTGTGACAAGCTCCCTGGGGACCATGATACCTGGGAGAACGACAGACTCTTCTTTTTTGGCAAGCATCACCGGTTCACGTCGAAGGATGTCTGGGGACACAACGTCGTCTGACACCCAAGGATATTCCAACCTGCTGTGAAGAAAAGAAAGTGGGTCATGGCAATGAAGGAAGCCGATGGCAAGTGGAGTGTAATGAACAGACTGGGAGCGGGTCTATTTAAGAAAAAGGCGAGAGGTGCTCTGGTGGAGCATTTGAGGGTTATGAACCCCGACAGGAGCCTGCCGGACGTCGATGCGAATGCAGTCCAAAAGCTAGATGAGTTGTACGCCAAGAAAATGTTGGAGTTTCGAGCGCCTTTCTACGCACTGGAGACGACACCGTCTCATGGCATTGACTGGCGCATGCCGCAACCTCCGTCGGCCGGTCAGCATCCGGGAAGCAGTGAAGGAGGAGACGAAGGAGACGGCGGAGGTGATGGAGGAGACGGCTCACGATTTGCCGGACAGGGAACGGGCGAAACATCGTCGGGAGAAAAGGCGTCCGGCGGAAAGGGGTCGGCTGGAAAGGGGTCGAGCGGAAAAGGATCAGGCGGGAAGGGGTCGGGCGGGAAGGGGTCGGGCGGGAAGGGGTCGGGCGGGAAGGGGTCGGGCGGAAAGCGTAGAACGTCCGGGAGTCCCCAGTATAGGGAAACTAACAGCCACTGCGTAGAGAGTCGAGATTCCGACATGCGAGACGTGGCCACCCTGAGGTCTGATCAAGTGCGAGTAGATTCGCACTTGTCTGCGAGGACTTTGTTTCCCGATGTCGGGGAGAGTCTATCCCACCGTGCGCAACAGAGGTCTCCTGTGCACAACACCTTGCTCCTGGAAGAGGGCGAACGTCTGCAGCATACGGCGGCATTTCCGGAGCGGCGAATCCATTCCTTGATGGGAACTGCGTCTTCGTTTTGCTTGGAGGGCGGGATGCCTGCATTGTGAAGGAGCGAAGGTGCGACTGTCAGTTCCCTCAGCTCGGGCGAGCGCCACAAACTCCGAATACATTCGGAGTTGCTGACGTCGCCCTGAAGGCCTTCCGCCAGAAGTGCTCCTGACGCTACAGTTCGGCGGGGCCAAGAAAATATGACGTCCTACCCCCCACATCTTCAGTTGGGCACAGGGTTCCCCTGCTCACCTCCGTTCTCATACGTTGAGACTCGAGACTGGCGGTCTCGCGACGTGCTGGAGGGGCCCGCTGCAGGAGTGTTGGAGACCGGGGCTGGCAAGTACGAACATCATGCTTCGGAGGGTGTACCAGTCGACATTGACGGCAAGAGTACAGCGGCTCCTGGGGAAGAGGAGCGCTCTCCGGGAGCGCATGCTGTACAGCGGGAAGAGGAGACTCAACACTGGCAGTCTCGCAAAGTCTTGGAGACCGGGGGTACCGAGTATGAAAGTCATGCTTCGGAGGGTGCGTCCGTGGACACTGACAGCAAGAGTACAACAGCTCCGGGGGAAACGCATGCTCTGCAGTGGGAAGAGGAGACTCAACATTGGCCGGCTCGCGAAGTCGTGAAGGGGCTCGACGCAGGAGAGCTAGTGATCGAGACGTCCGAAGAGGTTCTGCACAGTGGTTCGGCTGTGGCCACGACGCGAGAGGGTGTAGTTAAGGGAGGTCAGTGGACGTTCGTGGAAGCTCGCCTTCTTGGCGATGAGAAAGGCGAAGAAGAACCCGTGGTGGAGGCACGGGTTCATGGTGATGAGAAAGGCGGACAAACCGTGGTGGAAGGCGGTAAGGTGACGGTTGGCATCCAGCTGGATCCACAGCGGAAAGATGATGATTCTTCGCCCACCCGTTGCGGTGAAGAACAGGGTGATCGAGCGTCTGCCCTCAGTACCGATCGGGAAATGGTACTTCATGAAGCCATCGACTTGGGAAACGACTCGACTGCCACCGAACTGGTTAGCGACTCAGGTGTGGCCGAGGTGCAGAACTTCGAATCCTCCGTGGAAGGCGGTGAGGTGGTCGTCAGCATCAAGATGGATCCAGAGCAGAAAGATCATGATTCGTCGTCCACCCGTTGCGGTGCAGAACAGGGTGATCGAGTGTCTGTCCTCAATGCCGGTCGCGAAATGCTGCTTCACGAAGCCATCGACTTGCCTAGCGACTCAGCTGCCACCGAGCTGGTTAGCGACACAGCCGTGGCCGAGGTGCAGAACGTCGAATCCTCCGTGAACGTTGGCGCAATGGCGCGACAGGAGGGCGATTTCCCTCAAAGGACTCCCGAGCACGGTAAGAATTGTGAATAGGAGCACTCACATATCTGTCACTAGCCAGCTCAGTGTTCGTCCAAACTGATGTGATGGGCTCATATACCTATTACCACTTGTTAAAAAAAAGTTTGTGGGTTGTGGGTTATTTTCTATGTTTTACAAGTGTGAGGTTGTCAATGTCCCTGCCCATGAAGCCTTTAAAACGCGTGCGCGAGCAATGTTTTTCAGGGAGTTCATTGTCCGCTTCACCGAAGAAGTTGTCAAGTGTAGGGTTGTTTAAAAGGGTCCAGATGCCTCGCCTTTCTTAGAGAGTTGTCAGGGTTCTGAAGGCTTGTGGAATAGATAAGGAGGAAACTTTGCGGAAACATTTGACTGCGTCTATTGAAAGCGTCCGGCTTTGTCTGATGGGTCTGATGACGATGCCAAACGGGGTGTCTTGAGAGACCCGTATCTAAAGTACATCGCCAAGGACACATTCAACATTTACGGGAAAAGGGCAGACACTTCTTAGTTATTTCGCCCCGGTGCTTTTGGTCACTCCTCACACTTGTTCGTGGGTGTTTGTGTAGTTGGGGCTACATCATGTTTTCGCGTTCCCTTGCCCACTGAGGAGCTTAGCGCTATGGACTTGCGAATGCTGCAGGACGTCTGCGGAGATTTCAGCAACGGCCACGAGGTGGTTTCCTCGGTTCGCAAAGGGGTCAGTTCAATTCCGTTGAGCATAAAAAGTCTTCAGACTCTTGTCTAGGAGGAATGGCTTTCCGACGAGGTGGTGAAGTCATACTTGGCTTTGCTTGGCAATGCTACGTTGCTTGGGTGTCCCTCTCTTTACATTTTCGGTCCCTTTTTCTATACCAAGCTCGTCGGTGACACCTATCGTCATGAAAGGGTTGCGAGATTGACAAAATATGTGAATATTTTCTCGTACCACATGGTCTTGATTCCTGTCCATAAAAATCGAGTGCATTGGACCCTGTTATGTGTCCGATAACAACGGTCGGAGTACTACGACTCCCTCCTACACGACGATGACAGTTTTTCTTCCGATGTGCTTGCGAACTTCACGCAATACCTCCATGACGAAGCAGTTTGTAAATATGGTTAAAAAATGAAACTGGATCTCCTGGAGCCCAAGGTCGTTGTTCAAGGTGTCCCTCAATAGTCGGACGGGTCGAACTGCGGTGTTTTCATGCTCGCCTTCGCTTCATTTCTTGCACCCGGCTATCCGCCACCATTTCCGATAGCCCAAAACGACATTCCAAACATCAGGCTGAGGATTGCGGTGGACATACTCCAAGGCTCTGAATAATACCCCTGTTGTTAAATTACGTGTAGTTTTTTCTTCGAAAGGCCATAAGCAGAAGTGCGAATCTATTCCCACTTGGTCTAGCAGTCGGTCGGTTCGAGCTGTGCTATTGTTTTGACGAGGTACCGGATTGCAGTGGACGTTTTAATCAAGTAAACGCTTAGGTGTCGATGTGAATATCCCAGCCTCGTGCTGTAGCAATTTTTTAAGGGTTCTTCATTTCAAAGAACCTGTCATCTTTACTCGTAGGATTTTTGGGAGCGCCGTGCTGCCTTTGTTTGTTTCCAGGTTGTTCTCATTGCTTGCCGCGCAACATCCGCTACAGGGTTGCAGCGGACGCTAACATGAAGTAGAATCTTAGATGCCGATGTAAATATCCCAGTCACGTGGTGCAGTATCTTTTAAGTAGACGCTTACATATCGGATGTGATTATCCTGGCTTTGTGCTCCCTTTGTTTGTTTTCGGGTTGTTCTCCTTATGTCCTCTACGACCGCGGCAGCACCGTGCTGCGTTTGTTCGTTTCCAGGTTGTGCTCCTGTGTTGCTCATGGGACGTCTTCGTCCTCTTGTGGACATTGTTTACACTCATGCTCGTGGGGCTCGATACTCTGGTTCATTTAGGAAGATATTGGTGAAAGATATCAACGATTTCTTATTGGTCGCCAAATTATTTCGTGCTTATCTCTTTCTTTCGCGAGACTTTGTGGTGTGAAAGCCCCCCTCCCCCGCCCCACCCCGACCGCCCAGCTTTCACATGTTTTGGCTCGCCCCTGTTCTACGCGTGCCGCCCTGTTTTACGGTTCACCCCCTCTGCTTGTCTCCACTGAATGCTGTCTGTTGGTTCCATATGACAATTGCGAACTTCTTCTCTATTCGGAAACCAATTATCGCCAGAATGTATGTGTGTTTGAAGTTCTTTTACGGATTCAGCGGTGCACTAAATGATTACCAATTTTGTTATCCCCAGAATACATCTCGTGCTCTCCACGGAATGCTGACTGTTGTTTCCGTATGAGAAATGCGAACATATTCGCACTTTGGATGCTGTGCATTTGTGATTAAACCGTTCGTGTCCCCAAATTTGCCAAAATGATTACTTTGTGTGTTGTCAACGCCAGCTTGTTCATGACTGCAAGTTCGGAAAAATGTTCATCAATTGTGCTATTCCCAGAATGTATGTGTGCTTGACCCATGTGTTTCGACGTTGTTTGACCCAGAAGGATCAATACGAGGTGTTCACAAAAATTGATGATTTGTCGAAATTGTTACCTTCTGTGTTATCACTGGAAGACTGATCATTTACGCAAGTTCGCAGAAAATGATATTTTTTTTACAGGCCTTCTGTCTTTTAGACGAAATGGATAAATCGCGAAAAAGATTATCGTTTGTGTCATGTCTTGCGGAATGTGAAATTGGTTCCATGTACTTTGTGATTTTTGGAAAGCCTCCGTGTACCTTGAAATGTGGGATTGCATGATTTTTTGCATTCAATGATTTTTGGAAATGCATCTGTGTACTTTACAATTTGCCATTGAATGAATTTTTTGCATTGAATGATTTCTGGAAACTCTTCGTGTGCTGTGCAACTTCACCTTTGGAAAAACACTAGGCAACTTGAGATGTTTCCATCTCGATATTTGTAATGACAAGAGATACTTGTATGAATGGATATGTATCTTCTCGACACATAGATTTGATGACATTTTCATCCAGGAATATACAAATGACAAGCCAATGTCCATATTAAATCATCGCGCTGACGGAGTGCGCACCTGCTTCTCCATCAAAGTGCGAGTTCAATCGCACTTCTGGTGTGAACCCTGAGCAGTTCCCTCGTACTTTGCTTCACGTCGAGGAGGGGATCGAACGCACCGTCGGTAAGCACCTGCACATCACGAAGCAAGAGCACGTCCCAATTGGAACATCGTCGGGTTCTTGCGATGTCGACTCCCACATGATGACTACACTGAACAGCGGCAGAATGACCGGTCCGCCTTTCCGATGTGGATGTAACGGTGGATTGCGTCAAATCTTCTCTCAATGATCCACACCGGGGATGGGGGCCGGGATCCGACCACAGTTTGCTTGTAAGGCATCATATGATGTGTCGATATAACCGACATCCAAAACTGATTGGCGAGCATCTAGTGCTACGCTGATAAGTTTCAAACACGGCCCCAAAGTCGCCTAAGAGTGTTCATTGTCGGTTCCTCACGTCGTCGATTCCCACGTGATGAGTACAGTAAACAGCGGCAAGATGGCAGGTCCCCCTCGCCGGAATGGATCTAATGGTGGATTGCGTCAAATCTGCTCTCAAAGATCCACACCGGGTAGAAGGTCCTGGAATCAGCCAGTGCTTGCTTGTAAGCATCAAATGATGTGTCCATACAATCGACATGCAAAACTGTTTGGTGAGCATCTATTGCTACGCCAATAAGTTATGAACACGACCGCAAGGTCCCCTAAGAATGCTTTCAGCACTAGAGTCCTCTGACCGCCGACTATTTTGCACTTCGTGAAGGTGGTCATTTCTACCGATGTAGAAGGCTCGTGATCACTTTCATTGCTTGTATACGTGCCGATGGGTGCTCGGCGTTGCAAACATGTAGTGCTGTTGGCCCCCGCTGGATACGTTACTGTCTCGGATGCATCCCACAGAAGGACCTCACACACTGCGGACATGCAAATTCCCTGGGAGTGCTAATGGCAATCCGCGCCGACAACTGATAACGTGCGGGAAACAAATACACAGCCATCACCAACGACTGCTTGACACTTCTTGAAGGCGGTCTGCCACTTCTTAAAGGTGGTCAGTCACCAAACAGATCACGACCTGACATCAACCTCGCATTAACGTTCCCGTCCGAGTGCAAATGGCAATCCGGGAAGACGGCCAATGAGTGTTTGACCACTTCCTTAAGGTGCTCTGTCGAACACCGATAACTGCGAATTGACTCGCTGTTCAAATATAGTATCTCTCTCTCTCTCTCTTTCTCTCTCTCTCTCTCTCTCTCTCTCTCTCTCTCTCTCTCTCTCTCTCTCTC